AGTCAGTCCATCCAGCCATCTCCTTGTATTCAGCCACATTCCTAGCCGATATACCTACTCAGGGTAACACAGAGACAACCCTCTCTTCACTGTGCTCATCAGCCCCTCCTCTTCCTGGTCAGAAATTGTCCACAGGGAACTCGGCCCTCTGAGACATACCAAGGAGGTTTTCAGAATGCACCCAAGTGCCCTGGCACAGCACCTGGCTGGGAAACAATGATTTAACAATCTAATATAGGAGAAAATAAGTCTTGGAAACATTGGTGGGATGGGGTGGCAGTCCTATAGGTGTGGATCACTTGCTGGAGGAGGCAACTATGACCAATTTTTTTTTTTTGAAGGCCTGGGCAGAGGTTTCAAGATCGGAAGGACGTGTTGAGGTAGGGAATTGGAATGATTCAGTCATTGATCCCGGGAATGACAGAACAGCCAGAGATGTCCCAAGTCACAGAATCATAGAATTTGAGAGTTGAGAGGGATCTCAGCAGCCACCTGACCCCTTATTTACCTGAAAAACCTCAGCTCTAAGATACCCAACAAGTGGTCATCCAGAGTCTGCTTAGAGGTTTCTAACAAAGGGAGCCCACTACCCCATGAGGCAGCCCATTCTGCTTCTGGGTAAGCCCTAATTATTAGGAAAAACTTTTCCAGACACCTACATTAAATTGGTCTCTGCAGTTTCTATCCATTGTTCTTGGTCCTACCCTCTGGGGTCGAACCCGTATCCTCTTTCCTGTGACTGCCCTCAGATCCCTGAAGATAGCTCTCATGCATCAGCCTTGAGTCTTTCCTAAACCAAACATCCCTAATCCCATCACCTGATCCTCTTATGACATGGATTCATGGTCAGGAGATCTGAGTTCTGATCCTGGCTTTGCCTCTGACTTTGGGCCAATCTCACTTTCCTTCTCTTTTGAACTAAATAGTCTCTTAGGTCCCTCCCAGCTCTGACATTTTCTTTTTTAACTCTGAAAGGCAGCAAATTGAAGACTATGGAGAATTACAGACTATGCTTTCATATAGCTGTCCAACCACAGGACTGGGGCGAGGACAAGGAAACCACAGAGCTCTCCCCAGCAGAATGAAAGACCCAGAATGCTATGCTACTGGGCAAACTTCTGAAGATAGCACTTGAATGCTATTGACGAGCAGAGCAGAAAGGAAAAAATACCTTTCCCCCATAGATTTCTAGTGTTTTTCCCTTTTGCAGAGTGGGAAGAAAGGAATGAGAACCCACTTGTCCTGATTCCCAAGCCTTGCACCACCCTCTCTGCCCCAAGTACTGTCTTCTTCCTGAGCACCCTTCCCCCTCAAGTTCCCTGACCTGTCAATAAAGGGAAGGAGAGAGTGGCCCCATCACTCTTATAGCCCAAGTTGCCACCCCAAACAGCTTTCCCAAAACAGTTGACTTTGCCTCATTTTCATGCATATGTGACCAGATATTCTACCTTCTTGGGATAGTGAAGCCGCCAAGATGAATTGGTAGGAGCAGACCAAACTCTCTTCTTCTGAGCTGGACAAAGAAAGCCCCAGCTGCCAGCCCCTTCTTCCAGCAAGTTGGACTCCGATCCCACCCACAAGCCCCTTGGAATAAATAGGCAGGGTATATCCATCTGTCCCCTGGCTCAGCTTTCTGCCCTCTGCCTCAATTCACCGAGCCTACTTCCTTCCAAACAATTCGTGCATGAAGAGACTCCTCTCTGGGACTTTTTGGCTCAGACCCCAAAATTGATGCCACCTCCTTCCCTTTAGATTACTTTCTCATCCAAATCCTCTAGGCTGTATATATCTCCTTTGAAAGAGGGACCCAAGACTCTTCATCCCTTGCCCCCACCTATACACCTGAAACTTCCCTTTCTCTCATCCAGCCATACTCCCTTAAAGGAAATCCAGCAGAATGTAAAGAAGGGTACCCCTAAAGCCTTTTTGGGATAGGTTGGGAGGCCTTATTGGTACTCAGACTACTTGCCAGCCAGCAGGCCCCAGTTAGTCTGGCAATATCCAAGCTATCACTGTCTGGCATTATTTTGTCTTTCCAGATTTCAACAGTTCCATGTAATCTGTACTTCAGCGAAAGTGGATGGCTCAGTGTCCCGGAATCTTTTGGCCTTTATTCATGGTATTTTGTCCACCTGGAATGCTTTCTTCCTCCTCCTCCCTTCCCCTCCCATCCCTCCTCATTGAAATCCTGGGTAGCCTTTAAAGCTCAGCTCAGATTTCACCTTTTCAATGGAGTTGCCTTGTTCCATTCATTCAGTAACGACCTTTTCCCCTCTTGGCCGTCATATAACACTGGGTTCCTCTTTTATACACTTTTCATGTATTACTTTGTGTTACAGTTGTTTCTTTATGTGTCAGAATGCCTTTACTGGACCTTAAGCTCAATGAAGAAAGAGTCTTATTTCAGCATTGTATCTTCCCCAGTTCTTAACTTCAAGCTCTCCATACAGTAGGTGCTTAATAAATGTGTTGAATTGCAATGGGGCCTTCTCCCCATCTTCCAACCCCTTTCTAAAAAATGTCTGGTCTTGTAGCTCTGTTCTAACAAAACCAGAGAGAAGATGTTTGAAGGCATGGGAAAGAGGCAATTAGGAGCCACTTCTGATGGGCTGCTGGAGTGAAAGGAAAAAGGGGAGTCAGGGGTGATGGTAGGGGTCTTTCTTGAACTCAGATCGGGCTTCAGTTAAACAAAATTCAATTCAACAAGCATTTACTAACAATTCAGGGAATACTTATTTAAAGTGCCTACTGTGTGCAGGGAAGGCGCTTTGATGGCAGGTGCTGGGGACACAGTGACAAAGTGGAAATAGTCTTTGATCTCTAGGGATTTGCGTTCAACTGGGGGATGCTACCTCTACACTGATGTATAAATGTAAAGTATATACAAAGTAATTTCAAAAGATTTTGAAGCACTAGCAACTGAGGGGGTGGGGTATGGGAAGAGAGATCTGGAAGGAGTATCTAAGCTAAACTTTGAAGGAAAATAGGCCTTTTTTGCATCAGAGGTGAAGAGGGAAAATACATTGCAGATATGGAGGATCACCTGGGCAAAGGCCTGGAGTGAGGAGATGACTGTCACATAGTGGAGAACTGTTGGCAGACTAGTTTGATTGAAATCAAGTGCGTAAAGGAGAATAGCATGTAATATAAATGGAAACATGGATGGTAGCCAGACGGTGAAGGCGTTTACATGTCAGGCTGAGGATTTTGTATTTTGACAGGGAGCCCCTGAGCATCTTGAGTAGAGGAGTGACATGGTCAGTCAGATCTGTTTTAGGAATATTAGTTTGGCAGCTGTGTGGTAGGAAGATTAAAGAGGAGAGATGGAAACAGAGACACTAGTTTATGACTGTTTCCATAGTCCAGATGAGAGGTGATGAGGGCCTGAAGGACAGAGGCTATATGAATGCAGAGAAAGGAATGAATGGATGCAAGTAATGCTAAGTCAGTCAGGGAACATTTATTAAGGGTCTGCTATGTGCTAAGTGCTAAATGAAAGTACAGTTGAGAAGACTTGGCAATAGATTAGATTGCTGGCCTGAGTTGATGAGTGTTATCCCTAATGGAAATGGGGAAATTGGGAAGAGTGATGATTTACAGGGCCTCAGCTCTGCCAAAGACCCTGGCCCCCAATTCGTTCCATTTCTTTGCCCCAACCTCCTACTTCCTTGCTTAGGTCTCAATGGGTACCTGGTCCTTGAGCATTTGGGATCAGTTCTTCCAGCTCCAGTCCCAACCAGTTCCCTCCATTGAGTTTGGGATTCATTTCTCCAGAGCTAACTAAGCCGTTCAGTTCCAGAGGGAAAGAGTGGTTACTTACATGTACCATCAGAGTTATCCAGTGTTCAAAGCCCAAAGGCCACAGGACTTAGAGTCTGGACATCTGGGTTCTACGCCAGATCTGGTGCCAAGTCTGTGTGACCTTGAATAAGGGGTTCTTGACCTTTTTTGTTTCACAGGCCTGTTGGACAGTCTGGTAAAGCCTGTGGACCCCAGTTCAGAAGAACGTTTTTAAATGCACAAAATAAAATCCATAGGATTGCACAGGAAGCCAATTGTACAAAAATATAGTTATCAAAATATTTTTTAAAACAGAGGTGATGGACCCTGGATTAAGAATCCCTAGACTAGATGAGTTATATAGGCAGCTAGGTGGTACAGTGAATAGAGTACCAGGCCTGGCATCAAGAAGATTCCTCTTCCTGAATTCAAATCTGGCCTCAGACATTTACTAGCTTTGTTACCCTGGACTAGTCACTTAACCCTCTTTGCCTTAGTTTCCTCATCTGTCAAATGAGCTGGAGAAGGAAATGGCAAACCACTCCAGTATCTTTGCCAGGAAATCTCCAAATGGAGTCATGAAGAGTCAGGCACGACTGAACAGCGACACCAGATGAGCTCTGAAGTCCCTTTTCTAGACCTGACATTCTATGACTCTGTGATAAAAGGCTGTTGGGAGATAGACAAGAAACAGAAAGTGACTTGAGGCAGCATGGAGTAGAAGATGGGGTATTAGATCTGGAATCAGATAGACCTGGGTTCATATTTACCTCAGATACTAACTATGTGACTCTGGACAAGTCACCAAGATGGTTTCTTCATCTATAAAAGGTTGGACTTGATAATTTCTTAGTTCCCTTCCAGCTCTAAATCTTTGATCCCATGACCTTTGGATAACTTATTATGGAGTTAGGAGGATTCAGGATGCACACCCAAACACATATGCAAAGCACCCCTTCCCACCCCACCCGTCATATACATACATGAAAAATGACAATTTGATTAAAAACTACACATCAGATTCAAAATGATGATACAATAGAGTTGGCATCCCTGAGCACAAGGGCACACAGAGTAATGGATGGGTCAGATTAATCTGGGAAAGTTTCCTGCAGGGGTTCAGTTTGGGAGTAGGTAGGAAGGTTGATCTGGCCAGATAGGAGCTAGTTCAAACACATTTGAGTTCCTTCTTCTCACCCCACCCCCAACTCTGCCCAAAGGTATGTCCAAAGTCTTCTGGACATCATGGAGTTCCTGGACAAAGACCCTGAGGACCATCGGACCCTGGGACAGTAAGTGATCGAGATCTCTCCATGGATGAGCACAGTTGGGTTACTTATTAACTATGCCCTTGGACCAAGTGCCCTCCAGGGCCAGAGCCCTGGGCTGAGGACTGGGGCCTGATTGAGGAGAAGGGAAGGAGATAGTTGTAGCTTCCATGTGCTAGGCAGGGTGGGGAACCTGTGGCCTTGAGACCACATGTGGCCTAGGTCCTCAGTTTAACAGAATTCAATCCCAATTTGTTCTGTGAAGTTTGGATTCAGTCGAAAGGCTACACTTGAGGATTTAAAGGGCCACATGTGGCCTCGAGGCCGAAGGTACTCCTCCCCATTAGAGGATGACAGAGCCCCTATTCTCTTCAAACTTCTCATCTAAGAAGGAGAGATTAGATGCAGATAGAAACATAGGCTAACCCTCCAGCTAGACAGAGCTTCTGCCCTCCATGCTAGGGGCCTTGTTCTAGGGCGATTGAGAAGGGATGAAGGGAACTGAGCCCTTTGGTGCTGGGAGTTGGGGGAGAGCCCTTGCATTTAGGTGTGGGGAGTGCATCTCAGGCCTCAAGGGCTGAAGGTCTGAAAGGGGGTGAGGTGACTGGAATGAATGGAAGTGCATCTTAAGCACTTGTTATGTGCAAAGTGCTGAGGGTGCTAATACAAGAGGAAGACAGTCCCTGTTTTCAAGGGGCTCCTGTTCTAATGCAGTTTCCGCCTTAGTCTGATGGAAAGATCCCCTGGTCCTTAGGTACAATGGTGAAGTGGATGGCAGTGCATCTCCTTTAATGTCAGGGTGGAACAAAGGGCAGGAGGCCTCAATGAGGAGGAACTCTGGGAGGCAGGAGATAGGTAGTAGGTTTGGGGAGGAGAAAAAACAACTCTTCCTCCACCCTCCCCAGGTTCGCAGATGCCTTGGTCACAATCCGTAACCGGCACAATGATGTGGTGCCCACCATGGCCCAGGGTGTTCTGGAGTACAAGGAAGCCTATGGTGATGACCCTGTCTCCAACCAGAACATCCAGTACTTCCTGGACCGATTTTATCTCAGCCGCATCTCCATCCGAATGCTCATCAATCAGCATAGTGAGAACCAGGGAGAGCTTGGGAAAGGGGGGAGCTGAGAGGCAGAAGAGAAGTACTGAGTCAGAGGGATGAGAGGAGCCGGGAGGGGGGCGTCAAGTGAGAGAAGCTGGAGGAGGTAGAGGATCTAGAGGAGATGAGGGGGATGGTGGTGGCAGGTGAGAAGAGCTTGGGGAGGGAGCAGAGGTGAGAGCACCTGGGAGGGGGTGTCAAGTGAGAGAAGCTGGACAGGTAGAGGATCTAGAGGAGATGAGGGGGGTGGTGGTGGCAGGTGAGAAGAGCTTGGGGAGGGAGCAGAGGTGAGAGGACTTGGAAGGGGGTGTCAGGTGAGAGAAGCTGGAGGAGGTAGAGAATCTAGAGGAGATGAGGGGGGTGGTGGTAGCAAGTGAGAGGAGCTGGGGGGGCGCATCAGGTGAGAGAAGCTGGAGGAGGTAGAAGATCTAGAGGAGATGAGGGGGGTGGTGGTGGCAAGTGAGAGGAGCTGGGGGAGGGAGCAGAGGTGAGAGGAGCTGGGAGGGGGCTGTCAGGTGAGAGAAGCTGGAGGAGGTGGAGGATCTAGAGAGATGAGAGGGGTGGTGGTGGCAGGTGAGAAGAGCTTGGGGAGGGAGCAGAGGTGAGAGGAGCTGGCAGGAACCCAAGAGGGTAACAGACATCCCCTTTCTTCCCCAGCATTGATCTTTGACGGCAGCACAAACCCTGCCCACCCCAAACATATTGGCAGCATTGATCCCAACTGTGATGTCTCCGAGGTGGTGAAAGGTGTGTATGGGGAAAGTGGGTATGTTTTATGGGGAGGTCTCCAACCCCTTGCCCTCTTCCAGGACCTGAGGGCACCAAGCAGCAACCCCATAACTCCTCCTGCAATCAGAAAGATACCCAGTGCCTCCGTGGGGTGGGGTGGGGGGGAGTAGGAAACCTCACCTCTCCTAAGGGAGAGGCTTGAGGGGAAACTTCAGCCAAGGGGGGCAACTATTGGCACCACCTAGTTGGCAAAGAAAGGCTCTTTCACCTGAGCTCCCCAGGTAGGTGGAAACTCTGTCAAGTTCTTTCCTAAGACTAGTTCTCTGTGTGTGTGTGTGTGTGTGTGTGTGTGTGTGTGTGTGTGTGTGTGTGTGTGTGTGTGTTGGAACTTTCCTCTCTTTCCTCCAGATGCCTATGATATGGCCAAACTCCTATGTGACAAATATTATATGGCCTCTCCCAGCTTGGAGATTCAAGAGATCAATGGTGAGCTTGGGGTGGGACAGGCCTTGGGAAATTCTCTTGGGAGTGGAAGGGCAGAACAGGTTAAGAAAGAAGTTATGGTGAATGGGAAGCGGGATAGGAGATTGGAGAGGGGCACTGAGTGTGGTGTCCTCTTGGCAGCTCCCTGACTTTTGAACTCTGCCTTACTTTAGCCGCCAACTCCAAACAGCCCATCCATATGGTCTACGTCCCCTCCCATCTCTACCACATGCTCTTTGAGCTCTTTAAGGTAAGGAAGCTCTTTGAGGGGAGGAGGGGGTAGCATGGGAGAGGGAGAGTGGGTTCACTAGAGGAGAAGGGATCTGAGGAAAATAAGAGTCAAGTGGGGCTCCTTAACACTTCCCCTCTCTTCCCAGAATGCCATGCGGGCAACTGTGGAAAGCCATGAGTCCAGCCTCACACTCCCACCCATCAAGGTGATGGTGGCCTTGGGTGAGGAAGATCTATCTATCAAAGTATGTGAGTTTTGACCCTGGAGGCTGGAAGTTGGAGTTGGGAGGGGAGGGGGGCCTAGGGATGGAGTAAGGATGGGAAGTTCTCTGGGTGCTAAGTATTGGGTACGAGGGATACCCTGGGTCTACCCTCTCATGAACTCTTATGGTTTGAGGTGATTTCCTCTGCCCCTAAGACTCTTCCTCCATGCCCTGGACTTGGGCTTGGAGCAGATAATGGGAGGAGGAAAGACTGAAGGAGGAAGAGAGATGGGGGACAAGAATGTTTGGAGAGCTTGGGAGTTGGGGTGCATGGGGTTAAGGTGCTCTCACTTGGGTGAGGGGGGAGCAGCTAACACGTCTTGTCTCACCTAGATGAGTGACCGGGGTGGGGGCGTTCCTTTGCGAAAGATTGAGAGGCTCTTCAGCTACATGTACTCCACAGCTCCCACCCCTCAGCCAGGCTCCGGGGGGACCCCTTTGGTGAGATGGACCCTCTACGCCCAGTGCACCCTCCTTTCCGCCTCCCTAGTGGCTCCCCCTTTCACCAGCTCCCAGGCTCGTTCATGGGCCTCTCTCCCTTTGTGTGTCCCCCTCCCTCTTGGTCTTTCTGACTCTGCCTCTTCATATCTTGTTTTGACTTGCCCTGTCTCGATGTCATTCATTTTCTCTGTCATACTCTCTCTTCAGCTCTTGGTATCTTGATGTTTTTACACATCCCTGTTCTCTCATTATCTTTGTTTTCTTGCTCCTCCACTATGACTCAGTCTCTTCCTCAGCCAAACTTACTCATCCATCTATACCTCTGGGTGACTGTTCTTCCCCTTCCCAAGCTTTCTCTTTCCTCTATCCATTTTCCTCATAGCATTCCTCCCTCTACAATCTCTCCTGCTGTCCCCAGATCTCTTTCCGTGGAATGACCAAGTACCTCATTCCTTGCAGGCTGGTTTTGGCTATGGACTCCCCATATCCCGCCTTTATGCCAAGTACTTCCAGGGTGACCTGCAGCTCTTCTCCATGGAGGGCTTCGGGACTGATGCTGTCATCTATCTAAAAGTGAGTGATTCTCTTTCCCCCTTCCTCCTGCTCCCCTATGACAGAGCTGACTGATGTTGAAATGGAACAAGGAGGAATCTGCTGCTTCCTCTATCTCTGGGGATGACTTTCTCGCCTTACCCCTTAGCTTCTTACCACTGGGTCCTGAGACTAGGTCACTGTCTTGTGAAGGTGGGAAGGAGGAGGGCAGCTGCTTTCTGCCCCCAAGATGCCAGAGCAGGGCCCTCACAAGGTTGTTTTATCTACTTCTGGGTCTCAGAGAGGCCTATGGTTAATATTGCAGAAGGATTTGACAGGAGTTGAACTACTGTGTGCTAATTGCCTAGCATCCTTTGTACCTGCTGCCCTGCTGAACAATGAGCCAACCAAGGACTCAATGCCATTCCCCCCGACCTTATGCCTCCACTCTATAGCCCAGCTCTGGGGAGTTCAAAGGGTATTCCTAGGACCCATGTCCTCCACCCATCCAGGGAAGGCCTGAGTCAGTGTTGCTTGGCAAAGGACCAGAGATTACCAGAGAGCCTGCAGGAGGGCCAGGGGCACTCGATATGGCCTTTTGCAACACCTGCTGCCACCCCTGGCACCCAGATCAGTTCCTCTGCCTTTTCTGTTTTGGACAAAGACACACAGCCTGCATGAGGGATGAGCTGACAGTCCATAATAGCCCTAGTTTCCAGTAATAACTATCTGTGATTCTGTAACACTTGTGGCTGCTCTTGGGAGGAGAGCCATTGGGGGCTGACCTTATGTGACCTGGGCCCCTCTACCACACGATTTGTGGGCATGCTTGGAGAGTGGGGAGCATGGCAGGAGGTGGTACTGACACCTGTCCCTCCCTGACAGGCCCTGTCGACAGATTCTGTGGAACGCCTGCCCGTCTACAACAAGTCAGCATGGCGTCACTACCAGACCATCCAGGAGGCAGGCGACTGGTGTGTGCCAAGCACAGAGCCCAAGAACACATCCACCTACCGAGTCAGCTAGACAGGCTGCCAGTGGATGAGGCTTTGGGAGGGTTCCCATTGCTGGCAAGTCCCCTCCTGGCTTCACAGTGATGACCATGAGGACAGATGGATCTCTTTAGGGACCAGTCACCCTGGTGACCTGCCCCCTCTATCCACCACCCTAAGGGGTTAGGGGGATGTCACTCTGATGACCTGTCTCTGTTTCCATGGAAACTGTGGTGATGCCCTTTTCTACACTGACCCCCCAGATGCCAATTTCTGTTTCTGTAAAGACCCCTGGGGATACTCTTCCCTTCAGACCTTCCACTCTCCCCTAACCATCTTAAGTTGGGGGTGGGATGGGGAAGAGTTCCCCTTGATTACCTGACTGTTTCTATGGCAACTGCAGTGATGCCTTCACTACAGTAGCCCCCAGGTGCAATCTTTGTCTCCATAGAGTCTCCTGGGGAGACTTAGGGTGGTCTACCTGGTGACTTCCCCCTGCCACTACCCCAAGGAAAGAGGGAGGATCTTCTTGATGACTTGTGTCTATTTCCTTGGCAACTGGGATGATTCCTTCACTGCAGTGGCCTATAGGTGCCAATCTCTGTCACCGTAGAGACCCTGGGATGGTATCCCTGTGATCTTCCTCTTACCCCCCACCCTGTCACCTCAAGTGAGAGGCTGGGATTCTCCTTGATGACCCAGTGGCAGTGAGGGCCTCACCACAGTGGCCCCCATGTCTGTTTTTATAAAGTCCCTGGAGGAAGACCCCTGGAACGGTTTCCCCAGTGAATAATTTTTCTGGTGACGTCTATCATGTCACCTATAAGGGTGTGCCCCGATGGCAATTAAAGGGTGGTAACACCACCTGTGACAAAATCTGTCACTTCTCACCCTTGGCAGTGAGGCAGTATTCTGGGTGCTTTGCCACTCATCCTCTTTTTCTAGGTCTTCCATCTGGACCCTTCAGTTGGCCTTTTCTTCTCCTTTGAGCCATTACTCCCCCCCACCCACACACACTCCCCAGGGGTTGGGCTCTTATCAGTGTTAGGAAAAGACTGGTTGAGGCTGGGACCAAAGAGAAGAGAGGATACCAGCAACTAGGAGTGGAGCAGAGAGGCTCTGGCCACTAATGTGTCCACTCAGCTAATGGGCTGATCAGGCTTCCAACTTCCATGGGGTTGATGAAGAGAAAAATGTGAGTGGATGGGGGAATCCCTCCTCCCAGGAATATTGGGGCAAACATTGGTCTAGTGGGAAAATTCCCTTTAAAGGAAACCAAGGACAACCCGAAGTACCAGCCTTCCCAAAGTTCACCAGTCCCTCTGCCTAAGCAGTGTTTTCCTCTCCCTCTTTGATCTAGGCTCTCTTTCACATGCACCCCATCCTGCCTGAACAGCTTCAGTCTCTTGGATACCCCTTTCTATCATCCCTGCCCTCTTTCCCCCCCAAAACAGCCCTTGTGCTTGGTGTGGCTTGCTCCCCCCCTAAACTGTATGTACATAACTAGTTTCGTATCCCTGGGGTGTCTTTACCCCCTCCCTCTCAGCTGTCCAGCACACGAGAGGTTAAAGTTGTGTGTTCCTCCTGGCGACACCTGGTAAAAAGAAGATTGAATGAGATTCCCAGTTTGGTTGCTTACTAGTGGTGGTGGGAGGCAGTGGAGAAGGATGGGGACAGTGCCCCTAGACCAAGCCTTCCCGGTCCCCTGCATCTCATGATGTCCTATAACAGACATAAACCCTTTTATATACAGGATATGTCACATCTCCAACCCCCTGAAATACACATGAAATAGTCTAAGATGATCTAACAGGTCCAATATCTAGGTCATACCCATCATTTATACAATACCAATGGTCTACCTTTTGGCAAACAGTTCCAATATGCTGTCTTGAGTGTGCACATCAGTCTTCATTACCTATGCAGAACTGGAGAATTGTCCAAGCTGGAAGAACTTTTAGGGAATATCTAATCCAAACCCCTCCTTTAGTAAGTGAGGAAACTGAGGCCCACAGAGGGGAAAAGTCTTCCCCAGGTCACACGCTAAGTAACGGATCTCATATTTGAACCCAGGCTCTCTGATATTTTCCCACAATACCACTGTCTCATGAGCGTGAGCTTGGCAGAGTAACCTAGGCCTGAAGTGAGGCTTTCTATACATAGTCTATTTTTTGTGTTCCTTACATACAGAACCCACCTCAATAGTAATATTTAGGCCCTTTTTACCCATACTTTAGATGCCTCCTTCCCAAGGAGAAAGGAATGTTAGAAATCATCTAGTTCTACTCACCCTCCTCCCCATTACTGGTTTTAATAAATTAAGGTTCAAGGTGTTCAATGATTTGTCCAAGGTTACACAGTAAGGGAAGAATTCAAATCCAGGTCTTGCTGTCTTTTCCGTTACCACTCCTTTAAGGAAGGGAAGAGAATAGCAGAGCAGGAACTGAGGTCCTAAGTCAGAGTAGACAGCAAAATGTGGTGAGTACCCCCTCTTTAGAGACCAGTCCCCCAGAACCAAGTGGAGTAGGAGTAGCCCAGGCAGGGGACACAGCTGTCAGCTGTTTGGATGAAGGTTTCCGAGTCTAAAGGGGAAGTCTTCTGCAATTCCAGAGCTATGCTGGTTAGTCTTCCAGGAGAGAGAAGAAAACTTCATTTCTCTCTTTTTTTCCAGGCAATTGGGGCTAAGTGACTTGCCCAGGGTCACACAGCTAGTAAGGGTTGTCAAGTGTTTTAGTCTGAGGCCAGATTTGAACTCAGGTACTCCTGACTTCAGGGCCAGTGCTCTATCCACTGCGCCACCTAGCTGCCCCCTCCATTTCTCTTTTACACATTCCTGTCCATGCGTGTTGCTGGCTCCTAGAGGAGAGATAACAATGTCCATGGGCCTTGGGTGAAGGCTTTGGGCATTCGGGGCACCAGGGTAGGGAGGGAGATGTCTTGGTCTATGTCATTCCACTGTGACATTTCCTAACAAGGGCAGAAGCTGGTTCTTGGCACGTTGCCACAAGAGCTACTAATCCTGGCCCCGCCTCCTCCGCTAGCCCTGAGGGAAGGACTGGGCTCTGCCCATCCCTGAGGACACTTTGGTGCCCTCTGCTGGCTGCTCTCTGGCTGTGCCCATCGCTTCCAGCTCTAAAGTTCTATGATTTAACCCTCCCATCAGAAGGGAGACCCTGTAAATTATGAGGTGTGATCCAACAGCCCCCCACCCCCATGCACTGTAGGCTGGGCACTTTACAGCAACTTTGCTAACAAGGAGTGAGCCCTTAGACTAACTTTTAAAAAGACAATCGATGAGGAATACCATGTGGAGAGCTTTGGACCTTGAGGCACAAGACCTTGTGGGTGGAGAGACCCCCAAGGGGACAGGGGAGACACCTTAGGACACCAAAAGCACTTTGGGGCTAGGCAGGAGCTCACGTGGAGTGGGGAGAGTAGGGTTAAAGAAGCTTACATCTGATAACTTCCTGTTGTGAGGAGTTATTTTTGTTAGCTAGATGCTAAGCTCATTTGCTTCTGTTTGTTGAAGGAACACAAGTTCTGTCATTGCCCTCTAACTTTTGGTCAGCCCCTCCCTTTACAGCTCAACCTTGGCTAACAGAGTATTAGGATGCTACCCTGTCATCAGAGTGTGCCCAGGTCTCCTCTCCCTGGCACACCTTCCCTGGGAGGAAGAGGAAATAAAAGCCAGGGAGTTGGTTTTGTATCCTAAGTCAAGACTAGAGCTCAGCTGGGAGCCAAAGATCAGGGGCACCAAAGAGAGGACTGACAAAGATGTAACCCTTCTCCTTAGCTCAGGTGTCAGAAAATGGGAGAGAACTCCTTAAGTATTTTAAGGTCTCTTAGAGATGATTCCCTGAATTTTCTGTTATTCTGGCTTGGTATCTACCTTTGATCTTTCTTACTGCTGTCTATACCTTCCTTATTGGAGGAGTGTAGACCTCTTCATGGATGCAGAAGTCATTCAAGGGCCAATCCGAGCAAATTTTCCCCCAAGAGTAACCCTAAGCCAGAAACAGGAGTAATAACCTGGTCCTGGTACCACCCCAACTAACGATATGCTTGTAATATGGGGCACCCTTAGTTCTTCTTGCTGGGTTATTCTTGGGACTTTGGAGATGTTCCTATCCTCAACTCAATGCCAAACATGTCTTTGAAATAGGATTTATTCTTCTGTGTCTTCCCCAGAGAACCCCCTTTTAGTCAGTGGGGCCCCTTCTTGGGGTTTGGACAGGGGTACTGAGAGGGGTCTGGATGGGAATGTGTGCCCCTAAGGGGTGAGACTTTGGGGCTGGTCCAAGCTTTCACTCCTTCATTCCCCCTTTCTTCCAGAGGTCCTGTAGTTCCTCCTCCCTCGCCCTGGGCTGGGGGAAGTAGAGTGTGAGGGGTCCCCTGCCCCAGCAGTCAGGGAGTCATGCATGGTCTGTGCTCCTAGCCTGGGAGCCTCTAGCTTTTTCGAGCCTCGGCCTCTTTGCGCTTCTGTTTCTCTCGCTGCCGTTCAGCCTTCTCCTGAGCCTTTCTCTCCTTCTCAGCTGCTGCCACCAACTCCTTTAGCTTCCGTTTCACCAGTGCCCGGTCATGGGAGTTGCTGAGCCCCAGGCTCTATGGGAAATTCAGGGAAAGTGTGCATTTGAGGGGCAGCAAAGATATTAGCCATCTCATTACCTGGGGACTTGGCCCATTGATACTCTTTTAAGAGGGAATAAGGAAGAACCTTCATCTTTCCTCAATCTTATACCTTCACTATGTCTTCTCTGAAGTATAGCCTGTGCCCACCTTGATACAGCTCAATTCCCTTTCTGCCCACTGGGACCTTGGTAAGAGATCACCACTTATAGAAATTCAGAGAGAGGATAGGAAGGGACTTGTATATAATACCTTTTCCCCCACTCTACCCACAAATTTATCACCTCCCCTTGGCATCTCCTGGCCCACCTACCAACAGCAGATCTCAAAGTCCTTTCCATCATCCCCATCCTGGGAGTAGAAGCATCTAGACTCTCCCTCCCATGCAGTTGGGCAGAAATTTTAAAATGCAAATTAAAAAAAAAACTCCAAAGATTGTAGGTCAATAGTTGCCATTCTCCCCCCACTCACCACTTCCTACTGCCTCTAGCCTGGAAATGGAAGATCAGGCCAGAGATATCCAGGACTTTCTGGATAACTGACCTAGAGGAAGAACTTTAACTGGAGGCCAAGGCTCAGACCTCTGCCTAGTATATAGCCTCCCTCGCTCATGACCAACTGGCTAGTTAAGAGTGGGAAGACTCTCCTTATCCCAGTTAGTCCCCAGCCTTCAGAGACTTCTCAGTGCCAAAGTGAGCCTTGGAACCCTTCCCTTTCCCCATAGGGAAGAGTACAAGTCGAGTGAAGAGAGCCCAGAGTCTAAAGTCTGACTAAGGACCTCCACTGGAGGTCTGCCAATTCACTGGGAACTGAGCTGGGGCCACAGGTCTTGATGCTCCGTGCCTACCCGCACAGGGATACCTCCTCTTTCAAACCTTCAATTTCCCCCCATCCAGTTGCAACAGCTGCTGTCCATCCACTTGTCTAGCTGCAAACTCAGCAGTGTACTGATCCAAGTTGAGACTCTCTAGCCACTGGCCCACTTGTTGACTAGTCCAGTGGTTGGCAGTTGGAAGTGGCTCATCCAGGAACTGGGTTGTGGGGAAGGAGAAAAAAGAATAAGGGAAGGGGAATGATTCTACCATGGCCTTTCCACCCATCCTAATTTTGCACTAGAGACTCTTCGGGGTGGGAGTGGCATGATCTTCAGGTAATAGGTTAGGCCACAATACCTCCCAGGTCTGGAATCCATGTTCAGGACCATGGATAGGTCCCACCAAGAAATGGGGCCTCCACACCCTCTCCCTCCACCATACCTTGGGCCCATGACTAGAACTCACCTCATCAGAGGACTGGGATAGTGTGTGGTAAGGATAGGAGCACTTGGGATCTGGTCGGGAGCTGCTCAGTATCTTAGGGCTACTGCTGGGGGGTGTGGAGTCATCGTCACTCAGGGTGGATTCCTGAGGGGGGAATGTTCAGAGAGGGAGCTCTCATTGGTGTCTGCAGGTGTCCCTGCTTAACTCCCATCTGCCCTTCAGAGGACTTTACTCTTTTCTGGGCTGAAGAATTTTTTTGAGGTGTGTGTTGGGGGAAAGGGAAACAAGAATGAAAATAAGTACAAGAAAGAATGGAGATGGAAATATAAGACTTGGTCTCTATTTTCAGGAGCTTAAGATCTGTTTAGGGGAGATATAATACTAGTAATGCTGCTGCTGCTGCTGATAGTAACTGACATTTGTAGAGTCTTTAAGGTCAGAGGCAACATGCTACAGTGGACAGATCCTGAGCAAATTATTTAACCTCTCAGTGCTCTAAAGAACTCTCTTGAGACCACAGACAAGGCTGGTAGCAAGAGTTCCCTATATAAATGAAACCTCAGGTTTGGACCCTCTCTTTTAAAGATTTACAAAATATCTCATGTAAATTGTCTCATTTGATGTGGAAAGATAATATAAATGGGCATGGGTGGATGCTGTAGGATAACAGAGAAGAGAGTACTGTGGACTTGGGATAGAGGATGTAGTAAGGCTTCTTGGAATAGGTGGGAGTAGACTTGGATTCTCACATACAGGGGTTGATCTTTAGAGATCCCTGTTGAACTTAGAGGATGGTGACCCTTTGTCTGGGGTTTTAGTTATGTATCCTTATAAAGAGCCACTCTCTATTCAGTGTGGATACACTGATAATCAATTGGTTGGTTTAGATTTTCATAGAAAGAGCCATTCCTTGGTGTTGTTGTTCAGTAGTTTCAGTCCTGTCTGACTCTTCATGACCCTAATGGGCTTTTCTTGGCAAAGATACTAGAGTGGTTTGCTATTTCCTTCTGCAGCACATTTTACAGATGAGGAAACTGAGGCAAACAGGGTTAAGTGACTTACACAGGGTCACACAGCTAATAAGTGTCTGAGGCTGGATATGAACTCAGGTCTTCCTGACTCCAGGCCAGGCCCTCTATTCACTAGCTGCCCTCAATGGTTTTGTATTTACCTATAAAACAGAACCTTCCTTGAAAACTCAGATCTCTTTGACCCTTTTCTTCTGGAAAAATCAGCAGAGGTAAGATCTGACATCTGCTTGGGGAGTGAGGGTGAAGAATGGGCACAGGGTCATTGAAGGGATCTCAAGAGACATCTACTCTAATTCCTCTCACTTTATAAATGGGAAAATGGAAGCCCTGGAAGATTATATGCCTTTCTTAAGATCACCCAGGTAGTATGAGAAGGAAGATCTGAATCCAGGTGCTCTGTCTCCAGAGCTAGTGCTTCTCCATTTTGTCATACTGCCCAAACCACCAATGTCTATCTTGGGACAGAGGCACATAGAAATTACATTATGTTCTTGCCCATGAGACCAAGAGAAGAACTCATGGAAACAAATTCCTAGCCCCAGCCTTGCAGAGGTAGAAGGATAACATCTCATCCCAAGATGGCAGTTGTGGAGGATAATTATGTGATCTGTGAAAAAAGTTGATGAAACCCAACCTTCTGGATAGACAAGGGGAGATGTTGAGGGTAGGTTGAAACCAGCCTTCTGCCAAGGGAAGGGAGAGCTCCTGGGCCATGACAGTACATTGGAAAGGGAAGAAAATCCTAGAATCCAGCCTTCTAGAAAGAAGGGGAGATTCTGAGCAGCACCATCACTTGGGATTTCATCACCCACAAACCCAAAAAGAAAATCCTAGAATCCAGCCTTCTAGAAAGAAGGGGAGATTCTGAGCAGCACCATCACTTGGGATTTCATCACCCACAAACCCAAACTTGAGTTCAGGGATCCAACCTTCTAGAGAGAAAAGGAGACCTAGCAGAGGATCTAACTACTCTGTAGTTGGGAGTAGCAGCATGGGACTAAGTTGTGATATGGGAGAGGAAAAGGCATAGATTATGCCCTCTGCTATTAGCTTAGTTGTTTGTGAGGGCAGATCCAAAGAGGAAGTTGTCTCAACTCCAAATGCTTTTTCTTTGAGTTGGAGACAAATGAGAAATCCAAACCCTCAGGCTGGTACCGTAGAGTTAGATGTCTGTATGGGTACCTAGAAGAAAAGTAAGACTCCCCAGAATGTTAGGGGAGTTACATTCCTTATGATGCTACGTATATGTCCCTTTAGGGGAGCCCAAGACCTCATGGAGTACCATAATGCTAGATGAGTCTTTGAAATGAAAGTGGGACCCACAGGAATATGATATTTCAGTGGGGGATGCTATAAGTCTAGGGGACTGTACTGAGCTGTGGAGAAGGTAAAGTTCACTGCTGAATGAGAAGAATTGTATTGATGCTTGTTCAGGGGCTATTCGGAGTCCTTTATGTGTTTTATGCCTTGGTGGGGTTTTTTTCCTATACTTTTTGTGGAGTGAAATAAAAGTTGTCCTGTACCAGAAATATGCATTGTTACCTTAAGTATTTGAATAGGAATTGTGGAGAGTTAGTCATGAACCATAGGTGAGCTCTATTCTGAGATTTCCCAGAGGTAACTCTCATTGGAGGCAACATGAGTCTAAAAATTATGATTTGGAAGGGACAGCCACAAAATTGGACCCAGTCTATGGAAACCCAGGGCTTTGGGGTAATGGGTTACAAAAAAGAGAGAATCAAGTGGGAGCACAGAAACTTTGAAGATGGGGGTGGGGGGACCTTTAGGCAGAAAAGAAAGTCCTAAGGGCATTGGGAGTGCCAAGGACAGCCATGCTAACCTGAGAAGCTGACTTCTTGGGACTGAAGCCTTCATGCTTGGGAGAGCAGGCTGGGGAGGCAGTGCTCCCAGAAGAAGCAGAACCTTTGCTGCTATCTGTGAACCAGGAGAAGGGCAGGAATGGGGAACCACCTGTTCGGCCAGAGCCTTCCACTGACTCCCTGTAGAGAAACAATGCCAATCAGAGGGCACCAGCAGAGAGTTCTGGGTTGATATAAAAGGCATAGATTTTGTGGCACCAGGGCACCAACTGGGTGTTGAGTTACCTGCTGCCCATGGACAGTCGGTTGCTCCCTTTCTCCTTCCTGCTTTTACCTGTTGATGCCCTGCGCAGCGTAACCCTGTGAGAAGAACCAAGGAAAATCTAGCTGATGTCCTTTTGGACAATGTGATACCTGGGTGCCTTGGGACCGGGAATGAAAAACCCGCACAATATGTCAGCAATGAACTCTCAGAAGTTTGGGTCCCTTCATTCTCTTCATAATGTCCCCCCAACACCGAGAAAGATAGCCTTAGTCTACCCTCAGGAAACTCCCTTACTCACCCCAAATCCAAAAATTTTCGACGAGTTTTCTTGTCCAGGCCAGTAGTAGGACTGGCCGGTTCAGAGGGACTGGCATCTCGACTGTCATCTTTGGAGATTAGAGAAAAAGAATTCAAGGGAGTGGGTATAGCCTTTCCCCCAAAATTTACATACCTCTGAAGTTTAACTCCTATCCCAACCCCTACCTACCAGATTCACAGGGGACAGAACCATGTCTTTTCTGAATTTTATATATTTTCATTTTCTATTTTGCCATAGGAAAGGATCTTAGAGACTCTCTAGTTTGTTTTACAAATTGAGAAACTGAGGCACAGAGTGATTGCCTAAAAACATAACTAGCAAGTAACAGAACAAAATTCCGCTGGCCCCAAATCCAATGTGCTTTCATCAGTGCCTAGTACAGTTCTCTGCATGTAGTAGATTCTTAATTTATGTCTGAATGAAAGACAAATGGATGGATGGATGAACTTTCTTCACTGTTCTTTCCCATCAACTGAGGATGGAATCAACTGACTAGGTTCCTGAGAGCCCATTGCTAAATTCATTTAGGACTCAGAAATCAGCAAATGTTACAAATCAGGGTTTGATTTATTGTTTTGATTGTTTAGCTTCAAAAAATTTGGAAATGTTATTAATGCAGATTAAACTTAAGTGTGCCTACAGCTGTTTGTTAAAATATTGACCAGCACACCTCTGCCACTATCCTATACATACCACTGCAGTCTGACCTTAGCTAGGAAATGCCAATGGACAGAAAGAAAGTTCCTTATCTTATAGTGCCAGCCATAACTGGGGAGTGACGGGGCGGGCCGAAGGGGGACAAGGGAAGCGGGAAAGGAGAGGAGTTATCCTTTGGCTTGCAGTACCAAGGAGTGGCCAGTAGGGTCCGCTGTGGGACAGGTAGAAAAGTTCCCACCCAGCCCGGCCGAGCATCTAAGCTCGTTATTCCCCTGAGAGCAGGTAGTACATTCTTACCTTCGCTGTGTGGCTCAGCCCGGTGGTGCCGTCGCACAAAACTGGGGGAGCTGTCAGAGCTGGGCGCTGAGCGTGGGGGCGACGAGGAGGCAGCAGCGAGAGCCTCGTGGGAGGCCGCATTGTGTAGGGGCCGGTAGCGCGTGCGGGGTGAGGGTGGTGGTTCGTCTTCGTCCAGGCTCCGCCGCAACCCTGGAGGCTCCAAGGTGAAGGGCCCCCCGGGGGGAGACCCCGGGCCCGAATGAAGCGGCGAGCGCAACCGGTGGAGGGGGCTCCCACAGCCATCTGTCACCTGCCGGTCCCGGAGTGATTAGCTGAGAGCCTATGACTCCTGGATCCTTGGAGTGGGGTGGGGCGGTGTCGGGGATGCGAAAAAAGGGCTGGGAACCCTGAAGTCTGGGTCCACTTACATCCCATAGACTAAAAGCCAAGAACTGGGACAATTAATCCCTCCCTCTGTTCCCTGAAACTGGAGACCTCAGCTTCCCGGCTCAAGGCTATAGGGCTCGATCCCCAGTGTCCCCTGAGCAGGGTTAAGAAGAGTTAGCCAATAGGTTGAGAGAATTGACACTGGGGGTCCAGGGCTATGTATGTCTTGTCACCTATGGAGGAAAGGTCAAACCCCTCCGTCATTAAGACCCTCCACCATTATTCATGATTCTGCCGTTCCAGCCTCATGCTGCTTGCTGTGCTCTAGGTACTAGATCTTTCCTCCAGCTGCTTCCCTTGACTGTGTCCCCTGAATTCGACCTCCAAACCCTTCTTCACACTGTCATTTCCTGGCAGGCCCTCTTCTCTCTCTTTGGCGAATTCTGGTTGTTGTGTTTTGCTTTGTTTTGTTTTGTTCTTGGTCTGGCTCTATGATTTCATCTGGATAGGGAAATCCCTGCAGATCCCCAGCTCATCAGTAACTTGTAGTCTTAGAGAAGTGCTTAAGGAGGGGTTAAGTCCCTTGTACAGTGTCCCATAGTTGATACTAAGTTAGAGACAGGATTTGAATCTAGGCCTTATAGACTATGCTAAGGATGTGGATTCAAACCCCTCTGATGTTTATTACATGTATGATCTTAGCAATTCCTATAACCACCCTGGACCTCAGTTTCCTTATCTGTAAAAAGAGGGGCTTGAATTAGATGACTCTTAGTCCCTTCCAGCTCTAGAGCTATGATCCTTGTGATCCTCTGCAGTGTACCTTACTGCCTATTCTGGAGTTTAAAATTGAATTCTTAGCTGCCTTTTCTTTTCCTACTTGTCTCTTTTAAAAAAATATATGTATATATGCATACACATACATATATAATTTTTTCTAATTGTGTGTAAAAACAATTTTTAACATTTATTTTTTTTTAATTTTGAGTTCCAAATTTTTTCTGTTCCTTCCCTCCACCCCTTCCTTGAGAAGGCAAGCAATTTGATATAGATTATCCTTCTTGTCTCTTAAAGTCCAACTCAAATGCTGTCTCCTCCATGAAGGCTTCCCTGATCATCCTGAACAGGACCTTACCCATCCTGATCACACTTTGGTTTGTAACTCAAATCCACTTACGTGATATCATGTAATATAGTTCTCTGTATGGGTGGCTCATCCCTGTATTAGACTATAAGCTCCTTGAAGGCAAGGACTGTGTCTTATCTACATTTTGTATCCTCTTCAATCCCTGGCACAATGTTCTGCATGCAGGTATTTTTAAAGCACCTACTCTGTACCAAGCACTTTGCTAGGCATTAGACACAGACCGAAATGAAAAGGTTCCTCCGATCAAAGAGCTTATATACTAATCAAGGAATATATACATATTAATGCATATTTGTGTGTGAAGGGGAGAAAGCAGCTCTGACCTTGACCCCTGGCCCTTCTGGGCCATCGCCCTCTTCAGCTGAGCTGGCACTGTCCCGTAGCCGAGAACGAGATGGCCGGTGGCGCCTGCCCTTGGCCAGCAACTGGGCCCGGGCCTTATGAAGGCTGCTGTCCAGTCTGACTGTCTCTGGGATCACTGAGTCCAGGTCTGTGTCATAGACAGAGTAAGACAGACATTAGAGTGTCAAGGCCAAAGACATAGGTGTAGCAGACACAGGGTGACAGAAAGGCATTGAGAAATGAAGACCAGGACAGACAGAGAAGAGCAGAGAGACAGGTCAGTAGGATTGTGCCACTTCCATGGACAGCCAGAAACAGTTGGAGGCAGTCACTCCCATACCCAGAATGCTTTGTCACCTGGATTCTGTTGACTGTAGACTGAGCCCTGCCTGCCTTGGCTACAGCTCTTACACTATTTCCTCAGGTATAGTAGGAAGGGATCTTCCTCTCCCCTCAAAAAAAATTTTTTTTGAAAGTTCTGATCTTTACAGATGAACCTGTATACGGCCTTTTGCTTATAGCCCCGCTTAGCGTGACATTTCTTTCCTTGTCTCTACCCTCAGCAGCCTGTAGTAGAATGTTCATACTCCTTCTAATGACTCCATTCATCCATAAAGCCCTCTTCCCAGAGAGATAGCACCTGCTCACCTATACATCAGAGGATCGAGTACCCAATCAGACATGTGAGCACACTGGGATGTATACATCCTTCTACCTATGCCCATATGGACCCAGGTATGTGTACACATTCAGATTACTCTCAGGACCCCAGAGGCTTTCAACTCAGAGGAGCCTAATGGATAGCATCCTGGGCTTGGAATCAGGAAGAACTGGGTTTGAAACTCCCTAAGACTCAGTTTCCTCATCTGTAAAATGAGAGAGCTAGACCTCTAAAGTCCTTTCCAGTGCTAAGTCTATGATCCTTTGAACTAAACTCGCTTCCCCCCAACCCCAAGTCTGGCATTTTAAGCTACCAGCCCCTTACTCTTCGGCTCTTCCTGAATCCCTAGTGACTCAGAGCTAGCGGCTGAGTTAGGTAGCCTAGCAAAGCTGCTCCTGCTTGTTATTATAATTATGTTATTACTGTTGTTATTGTGTTTTTGTTAATTTTTTTTCACAAAATAAGAGATAACACTGATAGTAATAATAAGTAATATCTTCTCATAAAACGGTGAGAAAAACCAAGTAGCTACTAAATTACTGAAATACTAAATTACCTATTAAATAGGTAATAACAATAAAACCTGCTAATGCATATATGGCATTATGATTTTCCATACACCATACCATAAATCCATAATCAACTAGGAGAAGTAGGTAAGACAGTTATCATTACCCTCATTTTACAGGTGAGGAAACTGAGGCTCCAAAGTGAAATGAATTATGCAGATAACACAACTAGAAAGAGGCAGAGTAGGGCTTCAGCTTCAGGTAATAGGGTCAAAGATTTAGAGCTGGAAGGGACCTGAGAAATCACCTAGTCCAATCCCATCACTTTATAAATAGGGAAACTGACATTCAGAGTGTGCAAGGGGGGTTCAGATCTAGTTCTTCTTGGCTTCAAATCCAGAGATTTAACCCTAACCTCAGTAGAGGGAAGTTCCATTTAGCAGTGGGTGGGGGTGGGGAGGTGGGGAGGACTACCATGACTGCCCTCCCCCCACTTCCAACCTTTAGTAGCCATCCAGAAGGAAAGAGAGGCATCATGGAGAGCCCCTAGCCCAATTAGTGAGGAGAGTTCTTCTGCCTGTGTAGTAGTTCTGTTTCTGGAAAGGAGTTAAAGCAACAGCTCTTCAGAGAAAGGCAGCCCCAGGCAGTGTAAGCTTATGCATATTTAATGAGAGAGAGAGAGAGAGAGAGAGAGAGAGAGCAAGAGAGAGTTGGGCTCAGCTACCTGGGTAAGTCAAAGAGTGGTGGCAATCAAGATGTGGAAGCAGAAAAACTCTGAGGGTTGGAAGAGAGGGATTAGGTAGGGCCTGGGAAGGAGGGAGACCAAAGCAGAGAGAGCCTGAGTATTAGAACTAGAGATTGAAAGACAGGAAGAAGACAGAGATGGAAAAAAATAGAGAGGTGACCACTTCCCCTTTTACTCACATAACACTCTTCCATCCCACCAGGAAGCATAGGGACCCAAGGATTCCTTTCCTTGACTTTTCCTTAGGTACAGGAGCAACAATTCTAGCCATTTGATGTTTCAGAAAAGATGAATGAGGAAGGAAGGAAGGAAGGAAGGAAGGAAGGAAGGAAGGAAGGAAGGAAGGAAGGAAGGAAGGGAGGGAGGGAGGAAGGGAGGAAGGGAGGGAGGAAGGGAGGAAGGAAGGGAGGAAGGAAGGGAGGAAGGAAGGGAGGAAAGAAGGGAGGAAGGAAGGGAGGAAGGAAGGGAGGAAGGGAGGGAGGGAGGGAGGGAGGAAGGAGAAGGGAGGGGGAAGGGAGGAAGGAAGGAGGAAGGAGGAAGGGGGAGGGAGGGAGGAGGGAGGGAGGGAGGGAGGGAGGGAGGAGGAAGGGAGGGAGGGACGGGGGAGGAGGGAGGGAGGGAGGGAGGGGAGGAAGGGAGGAAGGGAGGAAGGGAGGAAGGAAGAGGAAGGGAGGAAGGGAAGGAGGGAGGGAGGAAGGGAGGGGGGGGGGGAGGGAGGGAGGAAGGAAGGAAGGAAGGAAGGGAGGGAGGAAGAAAGGAAGGAAGGACAGAGGGAGGGAGGAAGAGTCATGAGAGGAGGGCCTAGAGGTATGGAGATGGGGAGACATTGGGAAGGAGTAAGAGAGATTATAGATCCTGTGATTGGGAACAGGAAAGGACCTTGGAGATCATCTAGTCCAACTCCTTCATTTTACAGAGAAGGAAACTGAGGCCCAGAGAGGAAAAGTGAATTACCCAAGGTCACATAAATACTAAGTACCAGAGCTGAGAAAGAAAGAAGAGGCAAGAGAGAAGGAACTCCTGTAGGGGAAGAGAGGTAACTAATGAGAAGTCTGTGGAAGGGATTCTGGTAAGCTCAAATGAGATACTTGTAAAGTGCTTAGAACACAGTACCTGGCACAAAGTAAGCACTACAGAAATGCTTATTCCTGCCTGCTCTGTCTAAGTGTAGTGCATATCAGCATGTATCTGGGAACAAGCAAAAATGTGTATATATACATCAAACAAATCCTAGGCACACATAGGTAGATACCTATGTATAAGTATGTTCCTGTTCCCAGCCCTCCAGATCTTTTTCTTATGTCCAGGCAACAGACTCATTCATCTTCAGGTACCAGGTGGACATGATGGTCTCAGAAGTACCTTCCAGCTCTGAAATTCTGTTTTCTATTCATCCATGATTCATGCAGGAGAAACCCAAGCCCTAGGAGCCTGCTCTCAGCAATCTCTGCCTCTTTCCTCTCCTGCCCCCCACCTTTGCCTTTCTTCCTTTGAGCTTCTGAGTCCAGTGTGTAAATATCAGTTGCTTCCTCCAGTGCATGCTGGGAGTGCTGCCCTGTAGGGACTCTCCCATCACTTGTCCCCTTCTCTAGACAATAAATATAGTGGGAAGTGGGGGAGTGAATGCACATGTGTGGGTAGGCATGTCTGATGTTATACTTTAATGTGCCCTAAGAGGCTGTATGTCACATGTGTGGGAAAATGTATGCTGAGGAAGCTCTGTGTATGGGGAAGGAGGCACATGGCTGATGGGTAGTGGGGAAGAAAGAACTGACAGGCAGAGGGTTCAGAACCCCTGAGTACACTGTCTACAACCTGACCTTTGTCTCTATAATCCTCAAGGGTACGGAGGACAAGGAAAAGAGGAATAAGCCAGAGGCCAGCCCTGAGATCGTGGGAGTGTGGGGAAATGGGTACCAGAGCACTTACCAAAAACCTCCTCGGTGTCTTGGAGCTTTGAGGAAGCCATGATGCAGGAGAGCTGGAGGGGAGGTGTTGGAGAGAGAGAAGCCAAGGGTGAGATGTTCCGTGTCCACCCACCCTAGGCCTATTGGTCCTTCTGATTTCTCCCTGCCACCCACCTGGAGCTCTGCCCTCCAGCCCTTTTGAAGTGAGGACGTCTGGATTCATGTCCCAACTCCCAGCAGAAGGGAACCAGCCTCAAATAGGGAGTAAGAACCCCAACCTTTAAAGCTTGGGGAGTCAGGTTCAGGCTGATGTACTGTGTGACTTCACATGTGTCATTTAACTTGTCGGGGTCCTGATCAGTTTGGTGGGACTTTTCTCTACTGTACCGAACCTCATGGATTTCTAACTGGGTTGGTTCTCTATGGAGAATTTATGATAAAACTTGAAAGAGCATGGTACCATGTGAGCAGGGATAGAGAGATTGGTATCTGCAACAAGGGGAGGGAATACCAATACCCCAGAAGTCATGGATCCTATGAGTCTCCTAGGCTCTTCCTTCTTCTCTTCCTCGCCATCATAATAGCTAACACTTTAAGATTTGCAAAGCACTATACTATATTATCTCATCTGATACAACCACCTTATGAGGTGGATGCCATTATTATCACTGTCACTTTACATAGGGGGAAACTGAGGCTGACAGGTTAAGTGACTTGCCAAGAAGCACACAGATAATGAATGTCTAAGGCAGGATTTGAACTCAGATTTTCTTGATACCAAGTCCAGCCTACTATCTACTATGTCACCTGGCTGCTTCTAAATCCTTTAGCAATCAAAGAGTATAGAATGTTAGAGGAGAAAAGGACCTTCTAGACTCTATAATCCAACCCCTTTATTTTACTGATCAGGAACCTAAAGCTCAGAGGGAAGACGTTATTTGCCCAAGAACACTCAGTGGTGCAGTGGCCAGGCTGAGATTAGAACCCAGGCTGGCTTGCATATTCTTTCCTTTTCTCTTAAAAATCTTTTTTCTTCCTTCCCTTCTTCCTGTCTTTCTTTCTTCCCTCTTTCTTTCCTCCTTCCTCCTTTCCTTTCCTCCTTTTCTCTCTCCCCTCTTTCCTTCCTCCTTCCTTCCTTCCTTCCTTTCTGTTTTTTGGGGTTTTTTTTAGTCTGTTGCCAAGATCCTAGCACAGCGGCATGCACATAGAAGGCACTGAATAAGTGTTTATGGAATCAAGTTTCTTCTGTCCTCCTATTCTCTCTTCAAAACCTGTCTTCCTCTTTACATTCTTCTTTCCACTGCACAGCACTGCCTCCTTATGTGTGGTACAGCAAAAAAAGAAGAAAATGCCTGTACAGAGTCACATAAATTCAGTCTCTGTCCTTGGGATATTTTCAAACAGACACAGTTACAGATAGAATCAGAGGGGTCAAAGAACATAACACAAATATGACACCAAGACTGAGAATGGGCAGTATACAATACTGTATTGTAATCAGGGAGAGGTCAATTTTTTTTTACTGGATTTGGAGATAAAGGACCTGGTTTCAAGACTTGACTCTTCCACTTACTACCTATGTGACTTTGAACAGGTCATTTAACTTCACTGGCCTTGGCTTCCTCATCTGTAAAATGGGGGAGTTGAAGGAGCCAATCTGTAAGACTATTTTAAGCACTGATCTATGAAACCTCCTCTTTTCTAGGAATCTAGGAAGGATTCCTGGAGGAGAGATTTCAGTAATAGTGGGAGAAATGACTGAGACACAGGGAAAGTTGACAATATCACTGATGATGGTGAAGGATGTATGAAGGGACCAGAGGCAAAAAAGAGTAAGGCAGGTAAATCGGGGCAATACAATGAGGGGAGAAAGGAGAACCTTGGGGCAACCCTAGGCATGGTTTAGCTGCTATAACAAGAAGTTAGCTCAAAGCACTGCTAGTAATAATAGCTCCCATTGGTACACAGCAGTCAACCAAATACTTTCTTCACAACATTCAACACTTGCTTTACAGTCAACAAAATATTTTCCTTACAACATTTAACATGTGTCCACAAAGCAGGGACTGGACTTGAGCACTTCCCCTAGAGCTAGGCTCTGAGGTGGGGATACCAACAATTATTATAGCCATTATACGGGTAATAAAACTGATCCTCAGACAGATGTAGTGATACTCAGGGGCATAAGACAGAAATGGTCCCAGTAACTGGGTGAAACCCCTATGCACTGGCTGAGTTAATGGGTAAAAATATTCTCCTCTTTCCACTAGGGATAAATCCTAACTCTTAATCCCACCCATTGCTCTGTCTCGTTCTCTCTCTCTCTCTCTCTCTCTTCTCCTCTCTCTCTCTCTCTCTCTCTCTCTCTCTCTGTCTCTCTGTCTCTGTGTGTGTGTGTCTCTATCTCTATCTCTGTCTCTCTGTCTGTCTCTTTCTGTCTCTGTCCGTCTGTCTCTTTGTGTGTGTGTGTGTCTGTCTCTGTCTCTTTGTCTCTGTCTGTCTGTCTCTCTCTTTGTGTGTGTCTCTGTCTGTCTGTCTCTGTCTCTCTCTGTGTGTCTCTCGCCCCTTTCTCTCCAGCTGAAATCCTTTCACATTGTCCTAAAGAGGGAGGTCCTGGTTTTAGTGAGAAGGTAGGACACTTCTAGAGATAGCAGAACCAGGGGAGAGGGAAGGAAATTTAATCATATTGACTGAGAATGGGAGAGGCAGCAAAACCCTCTATAATTCTCTCTTCCTGACCCCTTACTCCAACAATTCATCCTATTGATCAGCTTCTTCTAGCTGCCCCAGAAGGTGGATTATCATTGTCCTTGGTCCAGGTGAGAGGGAGAGAATGAGTCAAGCACTTTAACCCTCCACCATACAAATCCCAGAACTAGAGGGAGGACAGTCTCTCAAAGGGGCTGCCCATTCTCTCCACAGACACCAATGGTCTAATAGTGTTTTGATATTGTTGAATGCAGAGTCCATATTATGACTTTCTTATGCACCCAGGAAGTGGGATTGTTGTCAAACAGTGGGGTGTCCCAGGCTTGAAGTCAGGGTGCCCCATACTTTCTATGGTAAAGAGAGGAAGAGGCCACTGTACCCCTGAGGCCTTTTTTCTATGTTGGGCACTACTGCTCTGTTTCTACCAAGCTGACTTCCTGTGCCCCATATCTCTTCCTCCACCTTGAATTTCTGCCAGAGTATGAAACCAGCTCCTCTGACATGACAGAACCCACCTCTCCTTCACTGAAGGCTTCCCAGAGAGTCTTCCAAGACGACCCCTCATCCCTCTCTCTCTCTTTACCAACATCCTAATATACTCTCAGACTAACCCTTTCCCACACACATTAGGAACTGGGTCTTCTCTCTATTTTTCTTGATTATACATTTGTAATCCTAACCTTCATCACCCCCACCCCCACCCCCACCTCTACTCCAGATCAGACTTTGAAATCCAGGAGGGTAGGAACTGTGTCAACTCTTGACTGTCCTCCAAGCCTTAAGTATGAGGTGGTGCCCCCTGGCATCTCTTAAAATAGCCATCACTGAGGAAGGAAATCTGCAGCAAAGCCTCATTGGAGACAGGAGGTTAGGAGAAGACTCCAGAAACCTGATGAGGCACAAGCCCTCCAGCCTGAATATTGCTCCCCTCCCTCCCCAATGACTCCCAAATGTGCTACTACTCCCAAAATGATTTTTTCTCCCCAGCCCCAGGCCACCCCATTAATTTTCTTGTGGAAGAGTGTGATGATCGAACATAGCCAATGTCTCTATAGCACTGAAGAATTATAGACCCCCTATAATGGAAAGAGTGCAAGTATCAGTATTCTAATTTTATAGATAAAGAAACAGGCTCAGAGAAGTTCAATGATTTGACCATGATCACACAGCTGGCAAGAGTCAGAAGCAGGATCTGAACCCAAGTATTCCGAGCAAATTCACTGTTCTGTCTGCTAAGCCATACTAAAATGGAGAGGATCAAAGGGATGTTCTCAAGGTCACACAGTGAGGAAGTTTCAAAGCAAGATGAGTTCAGGTATTTTAACTCTAAGCCCCCAGGTTCTTACCACACAGTACTGCCTCTCTGAGAAGGCCCTTTAAGGCCTCCCCCCATCATCCTCCTGATGGCTCTTTGAGGCAGCTCCTCCAGTTCTTCCCCATCTTCCTTAACTGAGTCCCAGAGAATTGGAGATTCCAGCTTCTCTTATTTTCCCCTTCTCAAACCTAGAATCCAGCTTCCCTGGGTGGAAAGGGACTGAGCCCCTCTGGGACTCTTTCCACGTGGTTTGATTCATTGGCCTATTGGAAGATTTGGGAAGCTGAAATGGGCCCCACCCCATTTCAACCAGAAGGCTGAATTTATTCAAGTCAAGGAGTAAACCAGGGACTATAAGGTTCCAGTTGCCTAAGGCGGGAGGAAAAGGAAATAGAAAGGTGTGATGAAAATAGGAAAAGTAAGGAAAGGTGAAAAAGAAGAAGATGGACTGGGAGATTTCTCCAGGGAAGGGGAATTTGAAAGCAAAAGAGAAAGAATAAGGGAATGCAGAAAACTAGCCTTAGACTGATAATTAGAAGACAGAATGATTCATACAAAGTGAGGATAAGACAGCTTAAGAAAGGGCGGGAAGTGTGAGAGAGATAGGAGGAAAAAAGGTAGGAGAGATTAAGATATGGAGTTAATGAGATGAGGGGAAATAAGAAGGAGAGAGAGAGGCAGAAGAGAGAGAGAAGGGGGGGCGCTGACTCCATCCATTTGAAAATGAGAGAGAAGGGCTGGGAGGAGCAGGGGGTGGAGCCCGAGGCAAGGGAGGGGAGAGGTCTGGGGCAAATGACCGGAGGGCTCCAAGCAGGAAGTGCCAGTTTGGGGCCGAGGGTTGATTGCTGAAGGACTGGCAGGAGGGAGAACCAAGCCCAGCGTTTGCCATATCTAGTGTGGAACTCTTCGCCTTGCATTGACTTAGGAATAGGGAACTGACTGCCTTTCATTGAGTAAACAGGTTTGGGGAGGTGAAGAGGACGTCAATTTTTCTGTCCAAGTCGTGCAGGGGTGTCTTGGGTTGGGGGAGGGTCACGTAGGACTCCTCTC